TTTCAGTACATTTTCAGAAGGTACCGGCTCCTAGTTTAACCACATATTTCGTCCCAGGCTAAATACATTTATATAGGTCCCAGGAGCGTATTTAGAAAAGTCTTATGGAGGGGGGGGGGCACAAACAAAAATATTAAAGTACACATAGTTATAACTTTTCCATCTCGAAAAACTGTCGTTATTCTTAACCAAATAATCAAAATACAAGTGCTTGACAGAAACATAACATTTTATTACACAAATTTATAATAAAACATATTTTTAAATAAAATGTTTGTAATTACAATAACTGAATACGTCTGGGGTGTTTATTAGCATATGCATCAACTACTTCTTCAGGTTTTATAATTATTTTAGGGTGTATATTAAGCAGTGCTAATCCGTTGAATCGATGGTACCATATTATCATGATATATTGATATTCCATTATTTCACACCGTGTGTGCCCGTGCGTGAAAAACAAGAAAGCCTACAATAATAAATAAAGTATAAAATACGGTAAATACGGAGCACGGGCTCCATGGGCCTACCGCTTGAATACGTCACTGATATGTCCTGTGTGTAAGACGAAACGATGAAAATCGTAGGCCCTGCCAATGTCTCAATGCGGACCCGACGATTTCGGCGCCCAATCCACGTGTGTCCGCTGTGTAGAGGTCGTAGTTTTCGAACCGCACCGTACGCGTGACCAAGCGAGCCGGAGAATGTTCGCAATCATCGAGTGGGTGGGTGCGTTACGTCGAACCTATTCTACGGCTGACAACTCGCGCGTACGGGACGCCGCGTGCCTATGTTCGTCGTCGCAGCGTCCTCGTTCGTCCGGTCGCGAAACGGCCGGGTCCGCACCGGTAAACAATAATAATCCAACAGGTGGGCGCCGCGCGTCCATATCGGGCGATACATTCAACAGCAGTGCGCGGCGCGTATATCCGCATAAATCGTACGTATTACGTTTTGTATGTGGGCTCGCGCCCGATTGTATAACGTATCACACGGTATCGTGTAAAAAAAAAAATAAAAAAAAAATACAATATAATTATTATAATAATAATAATAATAATAATACTAGCCGTCTCGTGCTGTTATAACATTGAATAAAACGTCATAGAAAATGCGTAAACGAAAAATTATACCGCGAGTGCACGGCGGCGGCGAGTGGGCGGCTGACCTAAACACGTTCTTGAAATCGACGTTATGTGTCGCACGCGCTCCTCCTTGTTGAGAGAAAATAACGTGCAATACATCGTTTACGTGCGTTATGACCGCCGTCGCCGCCGATACACCTGTCAATCGGTTCGACGAACTCGAGAGACGCGGTAGCCGTTCGCGAAGACGCTGCGCGGATGTGCGCGGCGATCGCGCGCTCGGAAAAGGAAAACTGGACGTCTCTCTCTCTCTCTCTCTCTCTCTCTCTCTCTCTCTTTATCGTACGTTTCTATTACCATCGTTTTTATGACTGTTATTATTATTATTTTCGAAACGCGAATACCGACGTGCCCGGCGTACTGATAATATTGCATTAGTAATAGTGTTTGCTTTTTGAAAAACAAAAACGAACACGGTCCGCGCACGTGCAACTATTCGCTAAAATGTCGAAACCACCGCTCAAGGCTGCACGTTTACGAGTTATACAGATAATGGTTACTTAACGAGCTAATTTTTTGTCTCTTTTAAATAACTTAGAACTCAACCAGGTGAAATCACCGTTCGGTTAATTAATTTTATAAATGCGTTAATTTCAATTTTTTCTGATCTATACTAATCTCCAGAGATTGAAAATAAAAATAAAATATTATTTTTCACATAAATCATCGTATTCATTGTTGGAAATCGAGGATTTCAATGAAGATCAAAATATTATACATAAATATAACTTGATATAGTTATCAAAATATTCAGATTAAAAGTTGAGCAACTTACCTAAGCTAGTACCTTTTTTCTATTTAATGATGTAATTTTTAAAAGTTGATAAAAAATATAAGAAACTTATAACTTCATTTTAAACTTATATTTTTTTAAACTACCATAACAAGTTAAAACACATCAGATAACTTGCCTAGCCTTCAAAACCGTTTGAATACTTGTATACATATCACGTCTTTCATCGGTCGCAGTTAGAAAAGTAGGTAGCTTTTAGATTGCTCCAACCGTTATCCTAATATAAATAATAATCAATATAACACGTGCGGGACGCGTGCGTTCGCGGTCGAATTTTTTGCCGAGTTGTGGTTTTGGTCGTGTTGCGGCAGTAATCAGGATGGAGGGTTCACCGTATTAGTATAGTGTTGACACCCGTAGATTAAGTTAGGTCGTAACTCACAAGGACTATTCACAGAGATGATACATACCGTTCTGAACAACGGTATACCGATATCAGGCATAAATTCTATAAACTCAAGACAGACGTCACTGAGAGAGACGAGTAATAAGAGAACTCTTATCGCAGAGCTCGTGTCACTTTTTAACACATTTTTAACTGAAGATTTTTATCAAATTTAAATACATACTGAAAAAATAATAACTAGGATTTTATATTTTTGACGTTTACCGAATGTGATTTATTAGAACTATATAAGCGTGTTTTACTTCGTCAATGTTAATCTTGATAGTCATATTTATTTTTCTGCACTGTATATGTTGTAAATTAATTATGAAATGTATCATTAAAATTCGTGTACACTTAATCGATAACCTGAGTTTGATATGTGATAAGATAAGATTTTTTTTGTTCAAAAATAATAGCTGTGAATAAACCTATCAGCCTAATATTGCATAGTTGTGAAAGTAAGATTATTAATAAATACAGAACTGTGATGTAGTACGTAAAATGTCCCGGTGAATTATAATACAATGTTGTAGAATGAAGTACATTACACTCTAGAACCTAGAGTCTAGGTTGTTTATTTTTGTGGACGTGATTAAAAATAGCCACGATTATTTGTTGGAATATAAACTAAATCTGAAAATTCACACGGAAAAAACGCGGTAAAAAACTAATAACAAGCATAATGAAAAGATTTCGATAATTGAACGATTAATAATCCAGATATTTTTATAATCAAGAGAATCTCTCAAAAAATCGAAATTAAAATAATTTAATAATTTGATGAAAATAATTGGCTATTTTACTAATCGAGGTTACTAATCGAGAAAATGACTCGAATCATGAACAAACTTATTATAAATAATCAGGGCCCTCATAAAAGGATATCAGAACTTCTACCCCTAATTTTAAACCTTATTTTTAATTTCAAAATATATTAATATACGTTAATATATGAGTATATATCGCTTGTTTGCTACAACAATGACATAACACGAAAAACAAGATTTTACACAAAAGGCATTTGAAAACTTTATTTGCAATGATATGATGGCAACGCAGTAACGTCACGACTACTATCTAGCGGCTAATTTTTGTTTATTCACTTATCTCGTTCTTGCAGTATAAAGAAAAACACCAAAATTATTATTATTTGGAAACACCTCAAAAATGACGATTTTTGTGTTATGTCGTTGTTGTAGCAAACAAGCGATATTTATTTATTAAAATAATATATTTTTTTCTTCTAAATATACAAATTAGCCCCCCCCCCCCATTTCATATTTCAAGATGCGCCCTTAGTCAGAAGGACCCATTAAACTAGGGACCGGCGTAAATGCAAATACTTCAATACATATCAGAATACAGTGGCGTTGAAAAGAGGGGGAACAGAGGGAACTTCAGATCATTGAAAGATCATCAAAAAAAAAAAAAAAACTCTACCAGCGGAAAGTTCGCGGCGAATCCATTCTCGCGTTCACGTTCATGGCATGTATATGTGTGCTCATAAATCTTCTTATTTCTTGGCATTAGCTTGCATAAGAAACAAACTTACTTGGAATAAATACGTATAAAGTACTTATATTTTTAACAATATTATATCTTGAAAACTTAATTGTCCGTGATATAATTAAACAAATTAAAATAAAATAAATAAATTTTATATCCTACCCGTCAAAACGTAACTTTTAATATATTTGCTGGCTACATTAAGTAATTACTCTATGACCAGCTGGCATGTTTGTAACCATTACAAATCACGCTCTCGTTGGATACAAAAATAGGTACAACACTTTCTTGTATTAAATACGGATATTGATAGTTTAGAGCCATCTGAATTCGAGAATTCGATACAAAATAATATTATCGTTTATCAAATCAGATTTGGATGATAATATAATTATTTTCCGTGACCACAATCAAAATAATGTATGCGTGAGTATAGAATTTAGTGAAGTTATTAGTTACTTAATTAACTACTACGTAGCCATGGTGTATGGTCAATGTAGAAATCATTTTTCGGTTCAAAAATATTAGATACATCCATTTTATTGTTCAGTGATCTACGGTAAAAATTGGTTTGTTCATTTGTGTTTGCTATATTGTATCTTATAAAACATATTTTCATCAACGATCAACAATCTCAGTCGTACAAAAGACTGCAGTCAAGTACAGATTACAGTTGAAAGGTATTATTTAATTAATTTCATTGTTTTCTAATTAAAATAATTTTTTTAAAATTGTTTTAATGATAACTATTGCTAAAACGTATAGTTGTGCATGATATTGTTTAAAAACTAAATATTTTACTTCACGTATGAAGTAATTTTATTAGACCTGTTGGTTTTACTCTAAGATTTGTTTAATTTATTCAATAGTAAAGTTTTGCCTCCAGAGTCGTTTTATATTCATCCATCTACTGTTAAATGATATTACACAGAATTTAATTTAAAAATAATTATATTAAGGTTATAAATAATATTTTTTTGCGAGACTATAATTATATAATTAAATCAATTATAAGTAACTAGTAATTATTTTTAAAACAACATTTTTGCCCCTCAAATTTTGGCCTTACCTATCCCCCAAATGGATGGTTAATAAATAGTAATTACATAATTTAACTATACATCCCCTGTATTAATGTATATTACTTATAAAAAAATTGTATTTTCAGAAATATTTATTTTTTCAATTAATAACAACTATGGAAGCTAGTCTTAAACCAGTAGTAAGTATTAAATGCTGTATAATTTAAAATATTTGAAATTCGATGTAATTATTAATAATATTAATCATACATACAACAATTATTGAATCTTACTAAAAATGTGTATTATATATTTATAAATATATGTCTAAGTTTATAAAATACAATTTATTGTACTGTTGTATATTTTTTTTTTAAGATATGTTTCGTTTTATTGAATTAATCTTATTTTTAGAAAATATTTAGAATTATTTTTTTAAACGATTTTACTTTAGGAAATATTTAATTTGGTACGGTCAATTGTCCAAAATGTAAATATTAACAATTTTGATGAAATGGCACACACAATTATTTCCATACCACTGAAAACAATTTATATATTTGAAAACATAGTGGATATAATTTATTTTCGGGTATATAAATATAATTAATAATTATAATAGTTATTAAATTTGTTGCTTTACTTATCTAGGCTTTAAATAGACCCGATTTTACAGTTTTATATGCAAAGTTATGTGCATACATGGCCAAACATGCAGCATTTAACAAACTTCACAATTCTAAAACTACTTTTCAGAAAGTTTTAGCACAAAAAATTTTTGATATGTTTACCACATATTATACTCGTACTCCTCAGAAAGAAGTACATAAATTAAAAAAAAATTTTATGAACAGTAATATGGTAACTAGTTATAATTTGTTAATATAATAATAGTATTTTTGTGATTATATTAGATTTTATAATTTAATCTATAATTATTAGTCTTAAGTCATTTCAAGCTTAAGATAAATCTCAGTACTGATACTTGCATAGTTAATTTTTATTTATAAATAAACTGATTTGTATCATTTTAAATCAAGACTTATTAATACATAATATGATTTAGGTACCCAAATGTATATTATATAATTAACAATGATAGCTAATAATTAAACTGACTTGAGTAGAATTACTCAACCGAACTACTAAAACTTAACCATTCTTATTTGCCTTTGACTAAAACCATATTATATTCAAATACATTTTCCACCAATTGATAAAATTGATAGTATATGTTTTTTAATTTAATAATCAAATAATATAAATATTTTATATCTGTTATAGACCCCATCTTTTTTCAAGAATATATTGAATAGTTTTCATTTCCAATATTATAAAAGGTCTTTAGCCCATTGCAAGTATGTTTTCAAGTAAAATTAATTAATAATTTGTATATATTGTACGAAATAATATTTTTATAGATTTATCGGTGAATTATTCAAACAAGGGGCTTTTACCGAAAAAAATATATTGTCGTTCATTCACGAATTGATGAAAGTAAAAGATATTCTGAATATTCATTGCTTATGTATAATATTACAAATAGCAGGACAAAAATTATCAAAAGTAATAACCAAAATAGTAAAGTATTAGGAAATTATAGAATAAATAATTTCTTATTTCATTTTTTTTAGACTCATAATTTGGACGGTATAGTACATCATATTTTATTATTTAAAAATGAAAACACTGTCCTCATAAAAATGTCACCAACTCTTCAGTCTTTGATATTCAAAATACAAAACTTGCATTTAAAATGTTGGATACATGAAGGTAATAATGTCAATTTTCAAATTATACTGTATAAATACTATTGTTCATTAGAAAAAATGTACTATTAAGTTACTACATTTATTTTAACAAATTTTTTTAAAATTTAGTTAGGTTTTATAATATGTTATGTATAATTATAATTTTTTTTTTTTTTTTGTTATAATATATTCAATAGTTTGAATTTTAAAATTTCAAGTTATGCATTTTATTTATGTTTAGCAGTTATACAAAGTTGTAACATTACTTTCAAATTGTATATTAGAAAGTAGGATAAAATTATTTTGTAATTTTGTATTAGTATAAATTTTTATGCAGTAATAAATAATTGCTTTTAAAAATTTTTCTTAACAATGATCAGTTTGCAATAATGATTCCTTCAAATTTTCATAACGAAGACATCTATATCGTATTTTATTAAATTAAATAAATAATATACAAGAATGGTACATGATATCTTCTGAACAGTTTTAATTTAATATATTAACTATTAACTATTTTAATAACTAATTTTTTACAGAACCTCTTAAGTTAATTGAGGACAATGAACAATATATTTCCTTTGAAAATTTGCCGGAGCAATTAAAACAACTATATGATCTTAAATCATATACAGTAATGGCCCAATGTATTATTGATGAATGTATGGCTGTTCTTAACGGTTTTGACAAGATAAATATCAATGTATGTAGTAGGTTTATTTATTTTATTATCAGTATTTTAAATATAAAAAAAAAAATAAAATAAGATGAAGAATATATTTTGATTATTGTATTACTATTAGATTGTTATTATGAAGAAGAATAATAAATAATTATTCCACATTTTTTATAACTCATCAAACAAATCCACTAAGACATCCTAGATATCGATCATCAGAAACTTGAAATTTGAAATATCTATTTCTTACTAATATTAAACTTTTTTTTTACACAAATATCTTAAAACATATAATTATTTAACCATCAAAGTTTATATTATTATACATTATAATACCAATAACTTTTTGATTACACCTTATGTTTATTTATTTAAAAATATTTACAGGAAATAGTACATTCGTTAAAATATATCAACTCGTGGCTACATTACGATCAAGTGTCATTCGTTGCTTCTATGATACTTATAACACTAAACGAAGACCAAAGTATTCGCCAAAAGGCTGGTATACTTTTAAACTTATTTATTAAGAAAGGCTTGTTATTAATTGATTCGGTTTTATCGGGGTAAATATAATTATATAAATTTTCTGTATTGTACATTTTATTAATTATTATTTTATTTTTATTTCATATATTAGAATTGACAAAATAATGGATGACTCAGAATTGAAAATAGAACTTCCAAGATTATCAGATTTATTATTTGACATCACTAGTAGGATTACATATCTGAATTAATTTTGTATAACTTAATTTATACTGTTTTGTATTGTATATTCTAATTGCTTTTTACTTGAATTACTATTTTTAAAGGTTTTGTCCAAAATTTTTTTTTGAGTTATAATACAATTTTCGTTGGTCTAAATGTGAAATAAATTATTATTGTTAAATTATCCATATTTTAGTCATTACTAATCTTTAATTTCGCATTTTTTGAATACTTTTGGCATAATAATCAAAAATATTCAACTGCTTACATAAACAATAAATTGAATTATTAATTTTTTTTTTTTTTTTTGACATTGCACATGTCTCGTTTTTTATCATTTTTGTTGCTTGTACCTCATAGGCATTCTTGGCTGCGATAAATTTCTATAAAGTTAATCACAACACTCGATCAAACACGATTAAATTTGCCATCGTTTTTATTTTATTAGTTAACTACTCAATCTAAAAAGTTGCACACATCTAAACTGCTTTTTTTATAAGCGCATATTTAGAATTTGGGAATTAATATTTAATTTTGAATTGGATTTAAAATCATAACATTCATTTAGTTATTTAAAACATTGAAAAATATACAAGATTCGTTCAAATTTCGAATTTGACATGAAAAAAAAGGAAATATAATTCATGTTACGCAAAATATTTTAAAAACTATTGGAAAAAGCAAAAATAATTCCAAAACTATATGCGTCCGCTTACCGGTTGATAATAGAGCTCTTAAAACACGTATCACGGAATTCACGTGTACACGTGAAATACATGTTTATCCAAAATATATATCCATTTTTACAATGGTAAAATTAGTAATTTTATGTTATACACTTGAAGTTTTAATAAAATATTAATAGTACAGTATTAAGTTAAGGATATACGTTTTTATTTTGGATTTTACATGTGACACGTGACACGTGAATTCCGTGAATTCACGTGTATTAAGAGCTCTAGTTGATAACATAATAAATGCAGTTTTTAAGAAACTTGTGTTTTTTTGGAAAATCACATGGCTAAAAAATATTCATTACCTGCTTAGTCTTGTCACAATTTACTCGAAACACGGAAAAAGTTATTATAATCAAGAAAATTGTAAAATATGAAAACCAGATAAATATGTTATATAATATATAAACATAATGCTGATACTAAAGTGTTATAATAAATTCTACAGCATTCTTTTATCGCTAACATTTTGTATACAATATTACCACCCGTGTACCTATAATTTATAATCGGACAATAGGGTATAATTTATTATTTCGTAGGTTTCGTAGACTAAACCTTAAAAAAACATTCGAGTGCCAAATTCGACCTTGACAAACCATAAACGAATTGCCCTCAATCTTTGCGAAATCCCACGTCAACGCGTCATTTTTTCTAATTTTCAACTGAACAGAACAGTAGGTACATGTCAGTTTATTATTATTTTATTAAACGAAACTATAGAACGAAAAATATACCTACCAACAACATTGATCGCAGATTCTGATACACTGTATTTTATCGTATAATTTAAGTGTGTTGTTGATTGGTAAAAACCGTTCGAATAAAATCTAATCAATATCCAGATTACGCACTCGAATCACGATTTATATGCGAACGTATATAATGCTTTGCAGACCGAAAACCCGCTAATAACTATTCCTGTTATAAAATATAGACCATAATACAGTATATAATAATTATTACCAACAAAACTATTGCACGCTGAAATAGACGTTAATGTTTGTTAAGTTATTAATTATATGACCGATTGAAAGTGTGAACATAATAATATATATCAAATAACGACTTCGCTTAATAGATCTACCATTACTTTCTATCGGAATAATTGTTCGTCGTACACGGTACCGAGGAATGTCTCGTTGAAATATTTGTCTAAAGATTTTAAATCACACAATTGGTAGAAAACTTGTATGCGACATAATAAACTGTGCGAACGTCCGCTTTATAAAATAAAAATTCAAGATACGGCTTGTTACGACACGTTGTCGTTTATCCCCCGACGACTTTTGCCGTACGTTCAATGAATTCGAATCGCGTCGGTTGACGGTTCTTACACGTCTCGCCCCAAGGGCGTGTTTAAATTTTATTTTTTTGGGGAGAGGCTGGGGAATTTCCTCGAAAAAAAATTTCACCATTCAACCAGTTCAAATCGAAAACGTTACTCGTTAAAATTAAATTTTACCGCGTGGTCGTCCGCGAACTCGAAACCGACTGCCGCCGCGGTAATCGAACGAGATCAAACGATCGCTTGCCGATTACCGCGTACGGTACCGTAAACGGTACGCAGATCAACGGGATCGGTAACCGAAGCGACCGGACGTCCCTCGACATCATCGCACGTCGTACGATACGCGTCTTTGTCGCGCCGTCGTCCGTAACGCGCGTCAAACGTATTCCACGCCCTGTGCGCAATGTGTTGACAATGATATCTCATAGACATCGGTCTATGATCTCAAAGCTATCGTCTACGGTATACATCTCTGATACGTCAATGAGATGATTATAAAATTATAAAAACATACATCACAAAATCAACATCTCCACGAGTGTAATGTTGTGATTGTGATGTCTCAGAGATATTATAAACTATAATTATAGAGATATTGGTTTACGATTTCAAAATGATTTATAGATAAACAACATCTCAATTCACAATATCGCATTGCGGTCACATAGAACTCGCATAATATTATTGTAAATAATCTAAAAATAGATAAAATAAAATATCCCAATGTGATAATATTCAATATAATGCAATAATATTAGCGTTATTATTATTATGACGTTTAACCTATAATATAACATTTCTGTACACGAGACAGAGTATACATCCATGGATCCATGGAGTGTGTATACATAATACATCTTACGACTACGACGATATCGACGTCATTTATTTTCGCATACTAACTAAGTATTTGACGTCTGCAAGCGTATAAAGTGTTTTAAAGTGTTATTCGTTTTTTAAGTTCATCAACATGGAAGGATCCGAAAAACAGGTATGTAATTGAATAATAAATAATATTTTTAATTTAATAAATAATATCTATAGTATATAGATAATAGTCACAGAATAGAATCTATTTTGTGGTATAGTTTCAATAGTTTCATACATTTACCGGATTCACTATATATTATATCCATTAGCTAGGTATTGAAAATGTATCTATTAGGTAGCCTATAAGTAGAAATCAAATATTAAATTGTAGGTATAATATAATATATTCTTCCCAACGTGCACTCTAGTTACACATTTTATTCTGGAGTAGGTATTCACAATTATTGTAAACGCAAAATATTGTGTTTACTGCTCTCTCTCTCACACACACACACACACACACACAAATATGTTGCATGAAATATTATACCTACCTTAATATATGTATAAAAAAAACATGAAATTTAACCACAAAAGTAAAAACAAAATTTACAAGAACAATCCTAGATTATACTGTTAGGCATTAGTTATAATTAATATAAGTTATAACTTTATAACTATAGATACTGTAATATAAGTTTGTATTTTTTATTATTCTATGAGGAACCAAGATTATATGTTAAAAATTATACGTTTATTGCCTTTGTAAAGAATCCATATTATAATTTTGTATAAAAAATATAGGTACCTATTCAAGTATAGATCAACTCCAAGGCCAATGCCTTTATAATTTATTGTACTTTTAGTAGGTTATTGGTTACTTTAAAAAAGAGCACACGTACTCAGTTATTCCTGTTAACTGGATATCATCTGTTACAACAAATGGTATTCCAGAATATATGTGTAAATGGCCTTTAAAACAAAGGGCTACAACAATGATGTTGATGAAAGAAGATAAACCATCTGCAGATTGGAAGTTATACCCTGTCAAAGTTATTGAACGATTCGGTACGATATTCATTTTTCTATTACAAAATAAACGACTATCTACATATTCTACATCATGAAAAATATGATAAAATAATTGTATTTTATTACTTACATATAAAATCTAAATAAAATTATTAAAAAAAGTATAAAAAATATTTATCATCCTACATAATATATGTAGACTCATATGAACAAGCTGCAGTGAAGGAAATCCAAATATTTATGTCAGAGTCAGAAAATGAAGAAAATTTAGGACGGGGAAAAAGACTAAAACTATCCAAACCCCAATTTGATGCATCACCAGATAATGTTAGTGATAGTGAGTACCTATTACCTGTAGCTGTTGATATCATACAATATTTTGAATATATAATTTTTAATTGATAGATAGTGATTCTTGTGAAGATGTGACTCTAAGTATTTATAAAAAACCATCACATACTAACAATAAAAATAAAACTGCAGAAGTATACAGAAGTAACAACATTTTATCTAGTTAATTTTAAATTCTTTTTACATATGGCTAATATTTTTAATAAATTAGGTAACACAGTAGAATCAATTTCACATTTTATTAACAATTATAATCAAGATAATATTATATTTAACTAGTTAGTAGTTGTCTATATTATATTTTTTAATTTATTTGTAATTTGTTACATTATTATATTATAGAAGCTTATACAATACAATCAAACTTGAACAAAAATGAAAATATTATACATAATGTCCAAGGTATGTATATTCATTTTTGTTTATATATAATATTTTAATTACCTATTTATTATTTGCAATATCTAGAAACATACACAATGCAATAATACTTGAATGAAAATGAAAATATTTTATTGAGTAATCAAGGTAATAATATTGTATTTAATAAAGTAAATGTCAAATTCTACTTTGTAATTTATATATTTATATTTTTATATTTATACTTATATATATATTTATATTTATAGTTCTTACCTATCATTATTATGTTTCATTTTTGGTGCTAGATATAAGTCAAAGGACTCTACAGTTGATTGGACACAATGTTTGTAGTAGTGTACTAAACGGTCAAGGTAATAACTATAAATTAATATAATATATATTTTACTTAAAAAAAAAAATGTATAATTTTATATAATAATTCTTTTTTTTTTTAAAGTTATTTCAGATACAAGATGTGGCCAAAAACCTAGATGATTTTTAAATACTGATCTTGAACATCAAATTTCAATTGAACAAGTAAATTTTCAACTACATTTTCCGTCTGAGTTCAGTAGATTACCCAGATCATTAGATGAACTACAATATTGGAAGGCGACTGAATATCGTAATTTTTTATTATATACTAGTTCCATTTTATTAAAAGTTAGGATAAAATCATCCCTGTATAACCATTTCTTACTTTTACATTGTGCTATTAAAATACTAATATCTATTGAAACTTGTTTAATCTATAATGACTTGGTGAATAATTTACTAAGAAAATTTGTCACTGAGTATCCTGAACATTATGGAAATGAATATGTATCATATAATGTTCATAGTCTTGTACACATAGCTAATTTCGTTATGATTCATGGTCCGGTCCACTAGACAATTTTAGTGCATTTAAATTTGAAAACTTTTTACAAATTATAAAAAAAACTGTTCACAGTTCTAAATATCCTCTTTAAGACGTATACAACCGAATTCTCGAACAAAATATGTATTTAGACAATAACATTAAATACCCTATAGTTAAAAAGAAAATGATTTCAACTATACAACTCACCAAGATATAACCACTACATTATATGAACAAGTTTTACTAACAAATTCAAAGTTAGTTGTTCTAAAAAACGTGATAAATATTTTTTTTTTTATTTGATTATTGTGCTATTGTTTCTATTGATAAAATAATTAAAGACTCATCTGGTCATATAATGCTTGAGGCTACTAAATATGAAAATTTATCTTCTATGTTTAGTAGCCCAATCTCATCACATTTAATTGGACACTTTCTGGTAAATACGGAAATTAAAATTCCAAAATGTTTAATTGAACTATCAAATTTAAAATATAAGTGTTTGTTTTTCCATACATCAGAAAATCAAGCTGTAGCTTTAATCTTACTTCATACAGAATAAAACATATTAATTACCTACTCTAAATGTCATAATTCTTTTAAACATATAAGTAATTTTTTATTATAAATATTTTATACTGTGTGAGTATAATATTATATTGTTATTATTATTATTATTATTATATTAAATATTATGTACGAATAACTTTTCAAAATAAATATTTTGTATCTACCTACTGTATAAACTGTGTTTAATTATATTTAATTATTATTTCCAATTTTCCAAAACCTTTGATACCCACCTTATAATTCTAAGACAATATGTTATGAATGTTATTGGATATATTATAATATATATCTATTATTGGATGTTACATTGGACATCTCATGGGTAAAAAAATGTGAAATCCTTAGGTATGTCTTTTGAGATGTTGATGCGATATTGCATTGTTACATCTTTAAATAGACTTCTAAGATACGTTCAATATGAGATGTTCTATAGATATTTAATTTTAACTTCTCAAATGTGATATCCTTCAACGTGGCGTTTGGCATCTCTAGAACATCACATGTATGTAAATGGGTAGTAAAAAGAAACATCACATATCACATATAACATCTCATTTACTTCTCTGATACAAGATTTTGCACACAGGGCGGGCACTCGATCGGCCACCGTTGCGCGTTCTCGTCTCCGCGGTCTCCAGAAATGCAATTAACCAGTCGTAAATAATTACCGTTCCCCTCTCTCACCCCGTGGGCCAATCGTCGGCCGAACAATACCGCGTAACGCCGCGTGCAACAATACAACCTGCCGTGTTTACCGGTCTTGTGCGTACTTTTATTTCATACCACAATCATTGTTGTCGTTTTTTCTTCTCCTTCTTCGCTGAAAGGCCGCGGCGCTTGCAGCGATTTTAGACCGCTGTACGTTGTGCGCCGGTCGCGATCCGAACCGGCGCAGATGTCGGTACGACGACCCGAACCATTCTCAAGACGCCTACCCATCGAATCGGTAGGTAGAAAGAACAGTTAAATGGTTATTACTGCGGTATTTTTTTTTCTGTTTTTTTTTTTTTCGTTCTCGTGATTCGTGCGACTCGGTATTTGTCTACGTAGGCGTTTCGATGAGACCTTCAAAATAATAATAATAATAATAATAATAAACGTTTTAGCATGTTCGCAGCGAAATGACAAGCGCACGTTCGTTTGTCTGGGCAAACCCGTTCGGTTAACAAAAATTTCTCATCAATCGATCTACATAAAAACAGTGTTTTAAATCATATATATATATTAAATTTAACATAGTAATAAATATTATTATGTAAGAGCATTTGAAATATAACGCAAAATTTATAAAATAAATCGTAACTATAGCGCACTACAAACCGTTCAATTTTATTCATAACTTAATCAATAGCTAATATTTTTTGTTCTGTTTTCAATCAATAAATCAATTGTTTTCAACACTTTAAAAGCGTTAATTATATTAATGTGCTACCAGCAACAGTCGTAACTAAAATAATTCCTAATCGAAAATTTATTTTAAACGAGGTTATAACCCATTGGTTAAAAGACAAAGAAAATACTGTAAAATACTTAAAGTTTAAAAAAAAAAAAAGAGTTGAAAGACAAATATAACCATAATCGTTATCGAACCCAAGTTTTGGGGGAATACGGTCACAAGGTGCATGACTAGAAATATTTCCAACGATTAAGAAGATATCCCGAAACTCGCATGGACATGTTTACGACTTTATGAACATATATCTTACGAAAAATATTCAACGCAACAATTGTGTACAGATATTTTTTAAGAATAAATAAAAAAAACAAAACTATTTGTATACATAAACCTGATTCTCGCCCACAACACATCACTGTGTAGACTCGTGCAGCGGAAAATATTTGTGCATAATTAAGTTTTTGTAGGCGATTCTTATTATGACCTGCACCGACTAAATAATACATTAAAATAATGTGTCTTCTAACAACATCCGTTTACACTATCCTTTTATTTTTCTACGCTTAAACGTTTAAAGTATTTACCATTATTGTAACGATATGGTATATCTGATATGTGCGCATATAATATATGCATTATAATATCCTTTTAACGAACGTTTTCGAATTTAATTTAGTGAAATAAAAGATTCTGTGTTAGCTAAACGTTCATTACAAAGAATTTATGTGTGTGTGTGTGTGTGTGTGTGTGTTTTTTAATAAAGATTTACATAAACGGAAAATCGACCATTACAGTCCAGCAGTGATTCCATAAAACATAAGAGAAGTACAATAAATTTACTAAATTTATTCTAAAATCAAAAAGCATTTTAAACGAATAAGTTTTAATGTCTTCATTTTTATTTTATGGGATTTGTTCAAAAAACATTAACATCGAAATCTACATAATTCAAGTACGAAAATATTATTAAATACATATCAAATAATAATATACGTAGTACTTGTATGATTTTTAACTATTATAAAGTACAAACGAATGTATAAAATAATTAAATTCTTTTAACTTAATAATAAAACTATAAAAATTATAACACAATATATCATATAAAAATATGATTAGGAGAAATATTCGAATGGAAAAAAGAAACGAGGAAGAAAATTAGTGAATTGATTGATAAAATTAGTTTTTTTAATAGTGGGTAAGAACAGTAGAAAACGATTTAATATTGTTGCTGGTAGTAATATTAGAAATGGATTGATTAGATCGGCTTGAAATCAAAAAAAAAAAAAAATCATTTTGATATTAATTTGAAGGTAAATAATAACGATATACTGTCAATTCACAGTTGGTGATACAAATATTATACTTTTCAACGTACGTAGTTTTGGTTTTAACATTATACATACACATATATTCAATAAGTTATTAAGTTGATTAGAATATTAACAAACAAGTAAATTTAAATAATTTTAAAACATTTTTTAACTTGTTTACTAGTTAATCCTTACCTTTGATTATTATAATAATACCTAACGAACATTTGTATGCATTTTTTTTTTGTTTTCACGTTGGTTCACTTACGAATCCGAAGTTCACGTGCTCGTCTTTGTCGAACGATTATTTCATTTATTGCGCGTGCTCAACATTTCGTACACGCTATGGATTCGATGGTTTTTTTTTATCACATAAGAAATAAAGTTTTTAATCGGTCACCGACGATGGAGTTGCCGGAGATTTCAACGCTGGATTCACATACGCGTCCGTCTGATGTGTGACCAAATATAACTTAATTCTCCTCGCCAAACGCTCTGTTGATTATAAATTAGACAATTTTCGAACGTTTTTTCATGCTATCTTTATTTTTGATACTATGAAAACTCGATGGTTTGAATCCCGTAGATATTTACAGTGTGGCGAATGTTCTAAATTCGTCTGTCGGATTAATAAGCTTATTTTCTGAAGAAATTAATGAAATATTATATAGTAACATATATATGTAAATATATTAATTACAATAACACTGGTCTATGAGTTTTCAATTATATCAGCCCTAATATTTCAATAAAGTACCTTAAAAATCGTGCGTAACAACGTATTCATATATATCATGATTTTTTTTCACAATACATCATCGTATTATCTTTGGAAAACGGAACCTTAGTATAAATCCTTTTTACATCAAACCTTAAAGAAAATATCGTGGAATAGTATAAAATATGTATTAGGTAAAACAAACTTCGGGGAGAGGCTGCACACCCCACGCACCTCCCTGAATATACGAGTAATGCGTGGCCGATTAACCGGTTTGCTAAAAACATTTTAATTCCACTCATATTAAACAATTTTAAACAATTTCATCCGTCATCCTATCCCACGGGTCACGGTTTCAAATTTTTTAATTATGTTTGCTAATGCACAATAAACTGAATTAATCTATAGTAAACCAAAACAAATGGTAAATACAATTTTTTTTCAAATGCTTATATTTCAGTAAATACGTCTAAATTGTATAACTAGTAATCATTATCAGGCCTCTGCATTGAAAAAATATTTAGTTCAGTTAACAAAATTTATATTTATTTCAACTATAATTATTAGTTGTCTGTGGGGCATTTATAAAATTAGCTAAGGTTGCCAATATAATTTAATTGAACAATTTTAATTGAATTAACAATATGTTTTTAAGTTGAAATATCCTTAAATATTAAATAAATTCAAACATAAAACCACAATTTTGATTGTTTTATCTGAGATTCGAAACCTCGCAGACCTGTCATGGTAACATACTACGTCTTAATCTACCTATCTACCTACAATGTTACTTTGGCTATCAAAATTAGCTTATAATAGTCAACAGAATATTAATTTTTTTTAAGTCTTCATGATTTATGAACTCTTTTGGTTCATTATATATTAATAAATAAAGCCCCGATTTTTATGCAAAAAATATTGTTGAATATATACATATTTATACACACAAAAATTAAAAAATATACAAAAAATATGCAAAAAAAAGTCATTAGAAATATATTACATCGTATAAACTATAACATTTTTTTCTATTATTCACAAATCACGAATTAAGTAATTATTAATCAATGATTAAAATTCAAAATTAACATCCAAAAATGTATATAATATATATTTATGGAATAGTTATTTAGTAAATCAGCTAAATTTATAGTAAAAAATAAACTATTTAAATATAGTACGTCTTACTATAAATAAGTCTAAATAAGTCAATAGTTATATAAATATTTTGCTATAAGTGTTAAATAATTATAAAATTATAGTAAATATTATTTTCATTTACAAAATCACCTTTTACTTAAAATCGACAGTAAAAGATGAATTCAAAACGTTAACGTTTTTAAAAAATATTCTAAACGTATTGTAAACCGAAAATAAAATATCTCATGACCTTTGATTAAGATCAGATGAATTATTCTTACAGCGCGGAAACCCGAATTAAAAAGATATGTTTTTCAGAAAATCCGCATGAATTCAAATAAAAGTTTACCTAAATATTTTTCGATAATAGTACTACTAGAAAACTAAGTTTTGAAAAAATTTCAGACTGGCGATATTACAGCACATGACAAATTAACCGCCTGTCAATACGAAGCGTAGGCAACACATTTCGTACAGATTTTAACAGGTGAAATTAAATTGAAGAACAAAACAGTCAATCGTCACATAGGAACATAATGAAAGCGATACATGTGTTTAATATAAGAATATTAATCAATTATTTGATTTCGCTTAGAACTATCTTGTAAGATTTAACAGTGAAAAACATGTGTTGTCCGCTACAGAACAAATAAATAATGAATTGTGCATAACTGTTTACATAATAATAATAATAATGCTAAACATAATACTAAAATATTTTTTGAGCTAAAAAATTATCTAAGTAATATAGTTTAAATATGTGACCGCATCAGGTGTAGTCACATACTATTTTCAATATATCACGCGACGACAAAAAATAAATTATATTCATAATAATGATCGATGTACTCGTAGAGGATAAAATGTATACACTATATTCTTCTGCATTGCGCGAAAGTACCAGGTTTGCATAAACAAAGCGCCGGACGTGAAAAAAAAATAACATAAAGTGATATTACTGTTAAATAATTTACTCTATACAAATTTATGGTTTTCGTACAATGGTAATTACGATGACTGTATATGTATTTATTTACAGTAGCGTAGAGCAGTAGTTTCCAATTAATGTGAAACCACGAATCCTTAGCTATAACTTAAATTTGGGACCCCTTTTTTTGTAAACACTTTTTAATTTTGTTTAGTTATGAAAATAAAAAAAAAATACGATTTATTTTAATTTAACAAACACATTTTCTAAAAAAATATATATATATATATATATATACATAAATAATAATTTCACTAAAATAAAATAAAAAAATCATTACAGTACTACACCACTGCGGACCACAAATAGGAAACCACTGGCGTGGAGACAATAAAAATAAAATGGCTAGTTACTAAATACTTTTCTTACAATAAGACCTGTTAATAATTAACACGAACTAGCAACGTCAATAATATTTGCATTTATTAACATTTTTTAATGTATAATAATATCTTATATAAATATCACAAATGGTCATATTATATTATTATAAGTTTAAATACAATCTACTACTAATTTCGTTTGTACGTCGGTCTTCTGTCTCTTGTGCGGATAGTTGCGGGATAACCGTTAGCACTTCTCATCAGTAAATCTAATTTTAATTTAATGTCACTTAATTTTACGTCCGTGTGGATACTGTAGTTCCGCAGAAACGTAGATATCATCACTTTCATCGACAACATGGCATACTTGGATCCTGCAATCGCGATACGGTTACGTGTTTTTAAAGAAATCGAATATTAATAATAATAATTAATGATTACACGTTATTTCTACTATTTCGCATACCTATGCACCCTCTCGGGCCACCACTAAAAGCGATAAAACTGTATTTGTGACGTTTTTCCACGTTCTGAGGATCGAAATTATCCGGATTAAACTTCCAAGGATCCGGGTACAGTTCCGAGATATGATGTGTGCATATCGGAGATATTATGCAAGTGGTTCCTTTCGGCAGCAAGTGATTACCAGAAACTTAAATACGGAACAATATACGTAAATAATATTCACCATATGTAACATATTATAATATTTTGCTTCTTCTCGTATTGGAGGAAATGCTGATAACACAACGATTACTCACATATCTTAACGTCATCCTGGAGTTGTCTGAGCAACAACGGTCCTATAGGGTACAGACGAAGTGTTTCTCTAATGCATTGTTCTAAATAAACAAGTTTAGTCGTGTCTTCGATGGTAATTAATTGGTCGGTATCACCCAACACGTGATAGATTTCATCGTACACCTTATCCTGTACAGGTAAAATACATATTGTTAGTACATTAATCATTCAATGTTTTACGGTCGGCTATAGGATTGGATATCCGACTTCGTAAAAAATCATTGAAACTGATTTAAATTAAAACATTCCTTACAACTAATTGTCCAGGAAATATCTCAAATAAATAAAACTCGAAGCATTTTCCTAATATAATATTCAATAGATAATAATATAGTATTTCTTTTTCCAAACTTACTTGAATATCTTGATGAATAGCTAACATTAAAAGACAAAAACAAACTGTGATACCACTGGTCTCACTGCCCTGAAAATTAATTTTACAATATTTTTCAATCAACTTTTGGACTTCGGAATTTTTTAAATATATACTTACACCAATCATCATGGTCACAACTTCATCCCTAATCTCGTCATTGGTGAAGTTCGCACCAGCATCGTTCAGGTCCAATAAAGTATCCAAAAATACTTTTAAGCGTTTCTCTTACGCGTGATATTAAAAAAATAAATTAAATAAAACACAATATAAATAACAACGTAAAGACGTGAAATTAGTACAAATTGTCACGAATGACTCACTTTCGCTATCGGTGACGTCTATGTTACTACATTTGTTTTCCAACTTCTTCTGAGCGTATTTTATTTTCATTTCTTTGATTACCTAAACATTTTAAATTGGCTTTAATATTTTTTTAAAAATCTTCATATGACGATTTCCAATTCTATTTACTTGGTTTGGAAGTTTGTGTAATGCTTTGTACACTTTATGTTTTCCTGTGATCCTTGTATATAACGAAAATATTATATCAGGATACAGCCATGGTTTGTAAATTCTCATGGCATCTAATTCTGATGCCCTACAAGAAAATGTTTGTGTAAAGGTATGATTGTATATTTGTACCCGTATGTATATATTTATTTAATAAGTTTTGATAAATTACTTTGTTAATGCATCGGCGAACTCGGACTCACTATTCGATTGTGTGTCGAGGTTGTAACCCATTGCGGTTTCTAAACGAATACATTTTATTGGATCATATTAGTTTAAGTACACAATTTACAAAAAAAAAAATATAAATATAAATATATAAATATGGAATCATTACACTTACGACATATGATATCAAGGGTAGCATTAGCTATGTAGTCACTTAAGTCAAACGGTTCGGTCTTACCGAGTTCCTTCTTAAAATTTCTAGTCAAAATCTGGTTTTTTTCGTTAAAAACGGGGAAAAACTGATCCAAGAGATTTGCATTAAAAACTGGAGTTATAAGACGACGATGTCTACGCCATTTATGAACTGAAATCATTAACGAAGTATATGTTATTGAAAATGTAGATAATATCGTTTACTTAGGTTGAGTTGATTCAATGATTAATCAATTTGCATTCATTATAAAAAAGTGTAAAACTAACAGTTTATTAAGACAAAACTAAGGATTCTAGCTCATTGAAAAAAGTTTCTTTACAATTATCATATTTTTACGGTTAAAACAATAATATAATTAAAAAATAAAATGTAGAAATAAAATAAAAGATAAGATGTTAAAAAAAAAAAAAATTTTATTGCGTTTAATTAATAATACTACTTAAAGTTTCAAGTTATTTTATTTTGTTGCATAAATTAATAAATATTAATATGTCAACTACAAATAATAATATCATCACAAAACCAAATTTTTTTAGTAGAAAAAATGTTTAACTTTTTTTAAGTTTATAAAGGTTTATTAAATTTATTGAGTAGTATGTTCTCGAGTAAAAATTACCCATACATAGAATACATTTGCAAAATTAAAATCTAAACCAAAAAATTTGTCAAAACAAGTGTAACAAACAAATAATTCCAATAATTCCAATTTGAGGATGATATTTTTTTTTTCTGTTATTCAAATTTTATACGATCGCATAAAACATGGAAAACTCAAGACTTTACAGAATATTATATTGGGCAAATGATCAGGAATGAAATGTACACACTAACCTGGGGCTGAAAAAAGGCCTTCACCTACTGTATTCTTGAAAAATTTGTAAAATGAATCTTTTGCCAAAGCCTTGGAACTATTCAATATAATCTGCAAAATAAATCAGGTTATAGCAATGACTCAACGACTTCTGGTTACATTTATGAACAGAGACAATAAAGAAGTAAATGATAAAATCAAGTTCATAAAAATCACTTAAGATATTTGTTCGTTTTAGTAGGTACACTAATTTACATTAGCGCACTAACTGACAATTGACGTGCGTTTGTTATTAATGATCAACAATCGTTTGAATTGTTTCATACCTATATCATAACGACCACGCACATTATTCATATTAATTATCATACAACACTGATTTGAAATGTCTATACAGATAAAATATGAATATGATATAAAAAAATTAAATTAAAAATAAAAATATGAAATATGAGTACCACAAAAAACAAAATCGTTCATGCAATACAACATATTTTAGTGCTAAATTCAATAATTAACTGAAATTTACTTAAAAACACAGAAAAAAATTACGCCAATGCAGAATGCAAAACGTATTTAGTTTTAAAAACCAATTAAACGATAAGAAATGATTGAAATATAATATACTTCATATTTTTTGAACGACTGATTTGAAACCGTAGTTTTGTATACATAATAATATTATCGTCTGTACTTGTTCAAAAATACCTTACCTGTACATCCTCGGGTTTACTGATGGTAACGCCCAGAGATGTGCCTAACCATACTCTAAAAGGCTCGGTACCATAAATCTCGAAAAGTTCGATTATTCTCTCTATGACCTCTGGGAAAATAAATAAATCATCTGCATTACACTAAATAATGTCATTGCGTTACGCGTTCGCCGCATTATAATTATAATTAATTTGTTACGTTTTGAATTATGCTGAAGCAAATAAATAAAATAACTTTAAATAAATGTGCGTTTACGTTGGGGTGTGCCGACGAACTCGAGCCCTGAACCTATGATCGGATAGGCCGGCGGTCCCGTCATTTTGGCTGCCAAATTCTCAAAACGCCTTCGGGTCCATTTATAATGGCACCATAACACCACGAGAAACGAGATCACCACATAGCCAGTCAATTCGGTTCTGGACATTTGAAACCCGGTTACTGAATTCTTAGAGTTCATGTGGAAATTTCGAGACACCTCCATCTTGAAACTAAATTAAAATAATAAAATTGATTTTCTTCCGCTCAGCCCAACGTTTTTAACGTGCGAATAATGTAAAAACATACATAATTTAACACCTGATGTATACCGGTATTAGTAACAGCTAGATCAAAAGTTTTATATCACTGAGTGAAATATACGTGAATGTACTTTTCAATCATCGTTCAGTCGTTTTTTTACAAGTCTTAAATAGTTACCTCAGTAATTCCATACGTACACCGGTGAAATAGTTTACAAGGACCAATTTATTAAGTGTTTTATTAAAACCGTGCACCGGGCGAATGTGCAAAATCACTGATACGGTCCGTGGGTTTGAAATAAAATTATTTACAGTTAATTCAGTACTTTTAAATTTTGGTTGAATACTGAACCAAAAAGCATGGTAATCCGATAATAAATCAACAGATATTATAACAAAGTATGTACTTATATATATATATATATACATCGTACCCTTGGTGCAAAAGTACCACAACTCAAAATGTCAGTGTTTTGAATTATGACTGCAGGTCGATGGCTATTATTTTTCTCTACAAAACACTATACCAACAGAAATTTTAGTACAACCACCGCATCCGTATTACATTAGTGTCATTATTGAATTTATTGAATTCTGCAGCAAAAGTAAAATAATATTGCCATATTTTGATTTTTTGATTTGTGGTTCTCTTGTACCAAAGATGCGATATCAGAGAATTCGCATGGACCAGTACCACAAACAATTATTATCAGGTCAACATTACGACTGGCGTGTTTTCGATTGTTATAACAATAATAATTGATAAGTCCTATGAATCCTAAATGTTATTCCACGCAACTGAAATCCACCGCGGCTCACGTAAACACATCACTGTTATCCTCCGCATACCATGAATGGCTATGATAGTTATGTCATTACGATTATCGTCCTGTCGAAATGTTATTGCAGTCGTTACACATCTCTATTACATCCGATGCGTCGTATAATATTATGTGCACGTATGCAACCTTGTACCGATGAAAAAGCACTTTAGGTGTTTACATCCATATAGCGTTTGTTTAGAATTAAAAAGAAAAGACTGCGACGACGACGACCTTGTGTAATAAAAAAAAAAACTAGTTCAACTTACATAAACGCACGTATAATAATACTAAAGCGCGAATCCCCTTGGAATTTCAATATAATATCTATTCGTACCGACATTAATTGTTATTGTTCGTTTTCAAGTTCTCATATCAATCACACGTACGCGTGCGAATGCAAAAGTGGCCGTATATCATTTCTATATATATCAACGCACAAGGTAGGCGGGACACTATATGATGTTCCTGTTAGAAATGATTATGTCTTCGTGCGCGATGTACGCGTATGATGTGTAATCACATGTTTTTATTCCGACAAAGCGAATCGAATTTCTCGAAAGTTCGGTTCGTTCGGACGAATTTCCCGCGAGATCTTTAAAAATCCAAAGTCTTACCGCAGTGAAAAACAATCGTAATTGTATTATAATACAACAATCGCTATTCGAATCGGATGTAATATGCTCAATAGGCATTGGCTAAAAATAACTTTAGCATCATCATGTAGTGAATCTTATAACCGAATGAAACCAATTGTAAGCGAAATGGGAGGGGGGGGAAATCGTAATTAAGTAATTATTAACTTTATTTTAATTATTTTACGTGTTATTTGTTACTTTTTCAATCATTCCGGCAACACATTACTCGTACTCGTTTGCACATCAAAATTAGTGCCCCAGTTATGTTGTACACATGTTTCACCACACTTCTAGAGCGTTTATATTCAATACGCCACCTCTTTTTAAGACTAATTCAATTCCAAATTTTACCAAAATGTTATACATTTTCTACCAATCATATATATTTGATAAACTGAAATGATCTTTGAACAAAATTTGAATATTATTACCGAAGCCGTCAGTCTTAAGACTTTTAAGTTTTATTCTCTTTATGATACGTTCAGACTGTTCCGGACGATTTTGAGTCTTTTTGACTAAACTTAATATATTCGTGTGTCTTATGAACGGCGTCCACAGTATCACGGTTCGTCCGTAAACGAAATCAAAAGTGTTCGATAACGACACCAAAGTACAGCGGTTCCCGATTAGTATTCAGACATTAATTCGCAAGATTTGTATTCACTCCGCGCGGTTCTTCGACAAAAATGAAATCGTGTTAGACGATTCGTAATTGATCATCGCGTCACGTACTACAATTTTTTCACCAAGACGGATTTCCCCTATACGTCTCGATCCTAATCAAACATTACTATGTGGTTCATGAATTTCGCATATTCATTTGGTTATTTACAAACTTTTGAAAACAAACGATTTATAATTTTGTAAAACTCGGATCGTTCGAGCTTTTAAAATCAAAAACATTTTTATGGTAGCATAAATGTTGTACCATTTATACAAAATTAATATTTATGTAGAAAATCACGTTTATTTTGTGCTCTAAATTCAATCGTATGTTTTAAGAAGACTATTTATACAGTATTTATTCGCTGTTAATTATTTATACCATTTACATTTTTATCGCATACAACCTCTAGCCAAAATAATTTACCTAAAACCCTGATGGTTAGGAAAACGATTTTTTTACGATACAGTGAACGACAAGTAAAAACTTTGCATAAAACTATATCGCATCAGTTGGTGAACTTAAACAATATAAGTCGATAAATAAAATTGAAATAAAAACTCAAGCCACGGATGTAGCTTAGACACTCACTACAGGTCAAATTAAGAAAACACATAAGATTATTCCAAAATAATCGATAACTTTTATGATTTGTATATTAACATAAAAAGCCATTGATTGTTCTTTTGATTTAATGCAATTAAGATTTTTCAATGTTAATTTTCTAAACAAAATAAAAAAATCATAAAACTGTATTAGATTAAACTACGAGTAATCTCGATGGTTATTAAAAAAATAAGATAATATGTTTAAACCTTAAGATGACGATAGCTTGTTTAAGTATAGAATAATTGTCTACAAATAAAATATTGATATAAAAAAACAATCTATATATATATAGAAATGTAGTAAATGATTATTTGTAACTTACTTTGTAATGCCCAAGGAAGGAAATCGTCTCTTCAAAGCTTCGATTACTACTACTGTAAAAGTGTCCTGATAGAGGTCCCCTGAAATCTTAATGACAAGGTCGATTGACCGCCCGGCGAAACCTGTTTGTTTTATGCACAGCATTCTAATGCACCCCACTTCTAGACGAAATAAATTTGAACAAGGGATAGTTTTTATTGCTTATTTTTTTTTATCATGAGTTACAACTTATAATCAATCATAGCTAATATGATAAATATCACATTGGGAAAAAAATTGTTTTTAATTTTTATTTAATAATAAAATCATCATGATATATTATTAACCAATAACTAAGAATTATTAAATATTTTAATATAATTTATAAAACATTATTTAATATTTCTTATAATACCAGTGTAAATAAAATTTAAAAATAAAAACTATTGTGTAAAAGTGCATTTTTATACCTGATGATAATTTTTTAAATCTAAACTGGTCTTATTATTTTCAAGTATTATACTACAGACAAGAACTTCTTTTATATATATATATATATATATTTGTTTTTTAATATTTGAAAAAATAATATTTACAATCTGTATTAAAATAACACAATAAAAAAAACATAATAGTTGATGTACATTTTAACTGTGAATAATATGAGAAAGGAGGCCATACCAGTATTGGAACACAACATGATATATTATTTTAGGTTAGTAAATCTCTGAAATATTTTCCCTTGAGTCGATGGGTGGGATTAGTGAATTGAGGAGTATTGGATAAGATTTTTGATACTCATGGGTTGATATGGGATTGTAGTTTGGAAATAAAATATTTGTAATGTTTGGTGGCTAATTAGTCAACAGATTTGATTTTTAAGTCAGAATGTAATGAGGAGCTGGATACAAACCAAAGTCCGGAGGTAATTATACGGAGAGTAATTGACTGGAATGTATAGTATGAGTTTAGAACAGCTTAGCATAACCTCAATTTTGAATCGCATATCGATCGCAAGAGATTTACACATAATACATTTGGTATGGATTGTGAGTTTTGATACACAAACTCCAATACTTAATTTTTTGATTACTAAGTGATTAAGACTACAATATGGTCAACATATCTCCTTATTGGAAAAGATCCCCTCCGATGTGTGTGTTATTGTAAATTAGTCAAATCGTTCAATATGCTAATGACCGCAAGATATATCAATATTAATTATAATAACACATTTTTATGATGAACTGGCAATCAGATCATTTAAACTGTAATACACTAATCTTAATTGAACTGTATTAAATGTATTCATACGTTACACAATAATATTTTTTAATCATTTTCAAATTATACATATTATAAATCATAGTGTAATATTTTTGTTTTACTTATTACGTTTGTGTGTGTATAATTATCTCGCCAATTTAAACACCTAACTATCATTGGCTTAACAATAATATATTAACATGTTAGTATGAATTACATTTTTTTTTCACCACCCCTGTATTACAGACTACCTCAAACGTAAGGACGCTAACGGAACATATATCACGAATAGACATAGTACTGTTACAAATATAGCAGTGTAGGCATAATATTACTAGTCGGCCTCGCGTGTACTTTTTCTAGGATTCGTATATCGAATCTGCGTACTAAACGTACGACGTACGTATTGCGACCTCCATCAAGTAGTGAATATATATGTCTATATGTCTATAAAAATAAAATAAAAACCGGACGACTTTAAGAATCCCAAGTGGGCAAAAGACTGCAATCAAGTCGAAAAACGGCATCCGGCCTCGTTCTGAGTATAGGAACACGTGATTTTATCTGGGCTACGGCTGTAAAACCTCCGCCATTTCTTCTAAAAAGTAGAGATGTAAAATTATATATTTTTTTTTTTTTGCATAGGTTCTAGATTTTAGATACTTTTTATAATACTAAAAACTGCGATATTTTTTAAAAAAATTTACTGCGATAAATAATACACTACCATCCGCGGTAATGAGGAAATATTAGGCATTGTACATACGATTTGTACCGATTCCGTTTTGAATTTTATGTCGGCATAATAATAATATACTACAATTCCTTATAGGGCAGATCGATTTTAATTCGTGTTCCAATGATATTATAAACGCCTACAATGTTGTCGTTATGTTTACGTATAAGTACAAAATTTAAACACACACCAGTTCATGAACCATGAACCTATTCCGCAAAACAAGATAAGTAAAATAATCATTTGTCTCTTCGTTATAAACCAGAACACTTATTCGATCTTCAATGTGCAAGCAATGTGTTGAATTTTCAAGGATAATTACCTGTAATGAGATAACATATAGTTTATAATAAAATAATAAAAATTTAATAAAAATTAAAAATTATTACATGGTTAATACTCGTAAATTAATAAATAAATTAATTAATATTTTATACATAAAAATAAATAAATAAATACTTAGCCTGGAATATTATTATGGCTGCATCAGAATTGGGTCCTGAATTATTTTAGGTATACACTAGTTCGTGAATATTTTTTGTTAAGTACTACATTATACTAACATTTTCCTTCCTATTTTAACAAACTTAGGAATGTTTATGATCTATTTAGACTACGGGACCACATTTTTTTTAAAATTCTATAATTTATATAATATTTTTATATAATAGTATTGGAAAGCTAGTATAGTGTTATAAAAATATTATACAATAATATTAATATAATTTTAATATTTTTACCAACACAATTCTAATAATTTATATTTTAATGGAAAAGAAACTATTTAAAAAAAACTATAAAAACATTTTTCATCATACCTGTGGCCTAAATAGAACATAGACAGTCCTAAGTTTGTTAAAATGAGAAGGAAAATATTAGTATAATGTAGTACTTACCAAAAAATATTCAGGAACTAGTGTAATACGAGTATCTAAAATAATTCAGGACCCAACTAGTGTAGTATCCAGGGCCGTGTTAAGGGGGGTTCAAATGGGGAAATTGTCCCCGGGCGCTGTGGTTTTTTAAAAGTGAGAGGGCGCCCTTATCTGCACTTAATATGCTACCTGTGCCCAGTGGCCCCGTAGGAAAAATTTTGCCCCAGGATACTAAAATGTTTGACACGGCTCTAGTAGTACCTATAAAAATCCGGGACCCAACTAGTACACTACCTGCGATTAGCCCCTAGTACTCGGAACCCAATTCGGATGCTCCGATTATTATATCTGTAAAGTACGAACGATTTCAAATTAAGACAATTTAGTTTAAGTATATATCTCGAATGTAAAATAATAAAAACGTATTCATATCAATTTCGCGCACAACGTTTTAGAAACATATGAAAACAATATTTTGTGAGTTCTTGCGTGTTCCAGAATTTTCGACGAAAAGGAAATGATAGTTGTACTAACGTACAGGACTGGATCATGGGAGGGGCAAGGGAGGGCTATATCCCCAGGCCGCAAATTAAAAGGAGCAGCAATGTGTTTTATAATAGTTGCCTAACGATTGTTGAGAAAACTCCGTATATCGGCCAGTACTAGTATAGTAACGATACTAACCTGACTGGGCCAGGGGCACACGAAATCGTGGTTGTGCTTCAGTATCCTTGGAAAATGAAGCGAAGTCTTTATTTTTATGCTCGCACTGATCATGTCCGAATACAATATTATTCGGCACAAAAGGGCATTTATGTAATATTCAATATCGTTTTATTGCCGACCAGTGATTTATATTATTTATCACCTACGAGCGTTGGTATATTATTTACTCTACCAACGGCCATTTGTATTATTTATAAAGGATAAACCTTGTTGATATATCTTTCACCGCGCACAATATACGTATCGTATCATTTGATATCGTCCACCGTGGACAAAAAACCATTTATTATAATCATCGTAATCATTATACAATTCGTTTGATCACGGAATATTCACATATCATATGCACGTTTATAATTATTAAAAATTTAAACTACCGAAGCCTAAACACTCTTGTAATGTTAAAGGGTATTCCACTGATTTTCCTGAACGCGTTCCATTAATTATCTGTTTCAAATGCTGTTCCACCTACCGTCGTTCGGTACCGGTTTCGATGGATACTTGGATGAGCTACCTGAATTTGGTACACCATAACAATTTTCTATGTGCAAAGTGTGTTCAATGTGACCAAATAAGTTTTCAAACTGTGTTCGCATTATATCGGACCCACGCCCTACCGCTATGTGAACGTTACACAGTTGTATCAACTCCCAATATTTGAACTCTTGTTGCGCCATTGCCCCGCAAAATGTCGATTTTAGTATCAAAACCTTAAAAGCAAAAGACAATGGGCCAATTTTAGACACTTGGCGTGATGATCACGTTTTTCGATGTCAGAGTTTCGTAGATGATTATTCTACCGTCGGAACAACGTGCAGGTTAAATTACATGTGCTATACCTAGTGTACAAAATCCTATAGCATGGTAGTCGCATAGTTGTCACACTGATGGTTGAGAAATTACGAATAAGTGCCTGTTGACTTCTCATAGATATATTATGGACGCTTAACACCAGGTTGAACGAAGTTATAGTATGCGATATCAACATGTGATTACTAAGAGTAGTTAATAATGTTAGTACATAAAGATAACGGAACTTCTCATTTTCTGCGCATAGACTTCGCAATGATTATTGTCCAGAAAATAAAAAAAAAACGGTAATAAGGTTATTTCACACTCGCCGAGATTCGAACCGTTCACTTATTGTGCACATTGCAATAAGTCCCGGTCTCTTATGGCGAGCTTTGAGTACATTAATCCATTGTGTACTAATCTCTGTACTGGGTTTTCAACTGCATCATTCTCGATACATTAACTCTTACAGCGAATCAGAGTTGAGAAAACAACTCTACTTTCAAATTAAATAAATAAACGATTTTAATTCATCCAAACCATATACACGCCCGTTATTGATCATTATGTGCTTAAATTGTTGTAGACAACATGTTATCGATTTCAGTTACACAAGTCATTACAATTAATATATTTCACACTGACCTTCCTTTTAATTAATTTTTTTTTTTCAATACAATTAGTTAAAATCTCGTTTATTTATTTGGTATATTGCGAACAAGCGTCGAAAATAATTCTACACGGATGAACAGTTTAATCGATCGATTCGACACTATACGGATCCAAATTCATGGTGTTGTGTTTTGTACGGCCGGTAACCGGTGAGAAACCTTGAATCGTGATCATTGCTTCGCAGAGACATTTACGTTGGCGCTTGTCTTAGGACGGGCAGTCAAGACGATTAAAAATTACCATCTAGTTACGGCAACGTGTGAAAGTTGAACGAAAACAAATAGGCCGTTGTCAATAATCGACGTGCACCTTAAAAATTCGTTTGAATAACAATATTATGCATTAACTTACACTGTGCGTGCAGTGTGTGTATGCGCGGGTAGGTGTGTGTGCGTGCATAGGTAACAATGGCATGCGCCTCTCTGCCCACACACATTACACGTGATCGTCACATATGCACGCTGAATACTTGATAGCATACGGCGGACAAACTCGAGTTGGGTCCCAGAAACAAAAAATTCCAAATTAATAATGTACTATCCCACATTTACATAAATAATGCCCTAACGTTCGACAGTAAATTTTCGTGGATACTTCATCTAAAAAACTAAAGACAAACTGCAATAAAAAAATAAAACTCATCAAAACTCTTTCCCGTCATAAATGGGAAGCTGAAAAAACAATTTACTATTAATTTACAAAGCACTAATACTATTAAAAATAGATTATGGATCTATAATCTATAATTCAGCCAAATCAAACACCAAACAAATCCTCAACCTCATTCACAACCAAGCGATTCAATTAGGTGTAGGTGTTTTTCGTACCAGCCCTATAGATTGCATTCTATGCATTTTAGAAGAACCTCCACTTCAAATTAGAAAAAAACAAAAATATATTAAAATACGTCACAAATAAACTCAATCTCCCTCACCAAACAACATTTCAGCTACTCAAGTAAGAAATTTCAATGAACCAGCAACAATTATAGAAACATACATACGAATATACAAGGAATTAAACTGTAAATTCAAAATCGAAACATCAACTCCATTCTTAACCAATCAATTCTGGCTATACCGACCTAAATTTCATACTTAACTATCTCAGTTTAATATGTATAAATCGCGTGTGACTTCAAACGACTTCGACTGCTGCAGCGTCTCCTCGGCGGTAAATCAGAAGCACGGAGCGTTCACATTGGTTCCTCGAAACTAGAACAGATGTAGGTTAGTAGGGAGGTAGGTATGAGGGTTAGTGGACACTGCGGTATTCCAAGTGGTACATTTTTGAATATGTACATCCGCGCACAGACTAAACAAATAATCCATATTCGAAGTACGTAAATCATTATGTTTTTGTTTTATGCCACATCGAGTTTTGTATTTCCTGATAATTAATAACACAAGTAAGCAACAACCTACTCCGGGTTTCAACCATCAACGGGGGGTGAATAAAAATATTTGGAATAACAGCATTTTATGTGAATAATTAGGTTTGCGAATGAGTATAAAATATTTAAGATACTTTTCGAAAAATTCAAAGTTTTAAAATTAAGTAAAAAAATACCATGTGGTATGCAATCAAATGCATTCCTAGATTTCTTTTCACCTGGACAAATAGTCCCTAGAATATTGGATAACTATTAGTGGTGCAATTTCAGTATACACTCTACAGGTTTTGCCCGTTCTATATTGGACAACGACTGAATATTTGGGATGGATAATTAATGAATGATTCGATTCTCTGAATCGATTCAAATAAATGAATCGGTTGAGTTGATTCAGTGTTGAAGAATGAATCGATTCAATGATAAAGAATGAATCGGTTCGTTGGTAACAGCAATTATTTTATAGAACCGAAAGTCAAAGAAAATTCAACGATTCAGTCTATAGTTTATGATTCAATTCTACTTTATTTTACTGTAATTAGTGGTTATCAGTAACGAATATTCAATTTATATGAAAATCCTGTTACTGTTATATTACCTATGTTTATTTTACTCCCAAATTATTTCAGTGATTCTATATTTTTTTATAAGACTATTAAATTTAAGTATAATAAGGCATTTATTATTCTTTTATCATTTTATTAAATTAATAATTATAATCATCTAAATAAGTGTACATATATAGTAACAATAATTATATTTATATTGAGTCCAAAATAAAAATAAAACATGCAATCAAAACATATTTTCATCAAAAATATTAAAAATATATTTGAAAAAGTTCATTTTTTTTTTTTTTTTTTTTTATATAGGTCATAGACGGATATTTGGTTTTATTTTTTTTTTTTTTTTTTTTTTTTTTGGGGGGGGGGTATAGTAATTCAATTTAAAATAACCCGCAGGGGATTCACTCCCACACCCCCTTCCCATACACAAGTAAAACTTATTACCATTAAAAATATAGATATGTTTAAATTGTATTAAAAAAACACTAAATAACGTATATTTAAAAATAATTAATATTTTATTTTAATGACAAATAACTATTTGTATTAGCAAAGATACTCAAAATATCATCATTTTTTTATATTTTTCGATATATAGTATTGAAAGATTACTAAACCTATCTTAAACCAACAATGTCCTTAACCAAGTTTTTATTTTTTTCATTGCACTGAAACTTCTTTCGCAAGTAGCCAAACTATGCAATTGGTATTGTTAATGCTATTGTAAATAGTTTTTTATTATTTCTTATTTTACGATTTTCAAAAAAAAAGGAACAGATAATTATAAAAACAACGAATAAAATTTCTAACAGTTTCGATTTTGGGAGGGCTATTAAAATATTTGGGGGGGTCTAAGCTCCACTAAGCCCCTTCTGATATCCGCCTATGATATAGGTCCATTTCTTGTCATGTTGGAAGATATTCAAAACTTGTATCAACAATAAAATAACCACAATAAAAACGAGTGCATATCAAATAAAAAACTAGTCTGTATAGCGCATACCGAATAAGAAATTTGTCGGTAGAGTGCATACCGAAATGACACCCTATTAGCAGTAATTACCAATACATTACTTTAATAATAAAACTTAATATTATAGTGGTTGCATTTACGTTAAAGTTTCGAAGTTACTTACCAGTAAAATGCGAGAACTTCTCAATGATTATAATACATAATCTGAAATCCTGAAATTGAAGTGATTTTTAAAATGATAAATTTTGTAACATGTTATTTTTATACCAATTTTATACCCTAACCAATGCAAATTCTTGGGCCGCCACTAAATCATGTTAAAATGTAATATTTATTTCGTTCAATTACATTTTAAAGATAGGCCTTTTTAATGCTAAATATTCTAAGATGTTAACAAACACTTGTTCAAAAAATTAAATTACTTCTCGATACAAATACAGATTTCCTGAAATGAAAGTATAATATTTATATTACGCAATAATTTCTATACTAGGATCTCAATATTTTCTCACCATTTCCTACGTAATCTTGGATTCTTCTTAATATGATTGGCACATCAGGAAATAATCGCCTATAACACTTGTTTCAAATCGACTAGTCCAACATTATCAATGTATAGTCTTATACATTATCTTTAAGCACCATAGTCTATAATATCTAATAATTCGAAAATAAAATCTGTTGACCTTTGAGCAATTACTTATGCATACACGAATATGTAGTTGCAGTATAACAAAAAAAACGGCGTTATTAACTTAAAGATAACGAAGAAAACTTAAATAAAACGTAGAACAGTTTAAATTTTATACATGGGACAAAAATCTTTGAATAGAATAATTTTCTAAGTTCAAAGATTCAATATTGTTACTCTCAATTTACTAGTATATGATTGATATTTCAACAATAATATTTTATTATTTCAGAAACAAAAAAGGTAGGTAATGGAGATAAATAACAACTTTAAATTATAACAAATAAATATTGTTGGTGTAAAATTGTAGTTTTCAGTCTAATGTATGAAATTATTTCTATGTAACTAAAAAATAAATTAAAATAAAATTTCACAGATTATAAAAAAAAGTCCTGAGTAAAAATAAAATCTGTATTTTACAAATAAAATAAAACCTAGGTATCACCATATACAAAATACGTACAAAATACACACAAAATATTTAATATATTTAATATAAGTTTGTAAATTGGAAAATCACTTATAATTATTAATTCTGAATCAGGAAGTTAATATTTTGTATTAAAATTTAAGTTTCTAAAAATGGAGGTGAATATTTTTGATATTAACTGATAAGTTTAGTCAATATCATTTATCAGCTATCAATTTATAATAAAAAAAATAATACTAAATTCATAGTTTTTTATTTTTTATATTCTAAATTATAAAATTATGAATAGGTAAGTAATAATCACATAATATTAAAGAAATACATTTATTACATACATAAAGACAACCATGTATAAATCATGAAGTTAGGAGTTTCCCTGATTATAATTTATGTATGACTAAATTCAACTGATTTAGACCACACTAAAAAATGATTATTTGAAGGCATATCCACTTTTTTTGTTAATGTAAACCCATATTTGGATGCAATTGGTATAAGTTGTTTAGTAATATCTCTTAACCCCCAAGATGGATTGCGCAACTTCAGACTATTGTTAAAATCGATATTGCTTTGTGGAGTTATAATACCATTATCTGCATATGCACCATATGTAAAAAGTATACCTTTTGAATTTAGGACATAACAGCTTCCTTTAAATAATCCTAAAAATATATTATTATAATTATTATCATAATTAGTTCATAATACATCAAGATAATTAGTTACTGTTGTATAAAGTTACTTAATAGTTCACATCTTAATACCTTCAGTGCATTTCCACTCAGATACGTGAATCATGTTTATGTTTAACACATAATCATATTGATTTTTTACCACTTCACCATCGAGCCACTGATCAGGTTCAGTAGATGCATCTAAATATTTTGCTGGTAAAACATTTGATAAATTCATGCTTTTTGTAAATAAATCTATGTTTTTTAAAAGACTTCGATCAAATTCGGTGGGTTGAAATTTGAAACTGGGAAAATTTGATGCAAAATATGATACATGTTGACCAGTACCTGAAGATATTTCCAATATATTACCACTAGGTTGATCAATGAATGTTTTCAAAGATGATAAAATTGGTCCTTGATTACGTTCAGCTGACACATACCGTATCATCTATATAAAAATATAACATACTATAAAATAATATTAAAAAAATTAGTTATAACCTACTTTTGAACTTAAACTCATATTAAACAAAATAATTTTTGTAAAATAATTGAATACCTAGTATAATATCAGTTAATAATTTGAAAAAAAACCCAATAATATCATATAAATACATATATTTAACGTTTATGTATTATATTAATCCTTAACAATAGAATACATTTTAGACCAAATTGAGTAAATTATAATAAATATTATATAATTATATAATTAAATATACAATTATGTTTATTACAATAAATGATTCCCACAAATGTAAATTGTTTAATGACTATGATTAAGTCACTATATATTTAAATTTAAATTAAATAAATAATGTGAAACTATAAATGGTATTATAATAATTTAGGTCTTTTTGGAACTCCAGTTAAAAGATTAACACTCTTTTCTCTTTTCATTGAAGGATTCTTATTTGATCCAGGTACATTACTATCTTGTAACCATCTAACTTGTGTTGCTGGTCCATATCCTTTCTCATTTTTCGCTGCGATTCGGAATATAATTGCAGGTTTATTAGTCCTATCAATCAATGCAGCGCCAAGGGACTCATGACTAACCACTGCAGCATTGTGAGGTCCACAGTATACTCGTACAAAATTTAAATTTGTGGAAGTTGGTTTTGAACTTTGTGGTAGAGCTTCCTTGGGGTTTTTAATGGCCAAACAAACTGAATATTCTAAGATTTTTCCAGAACTAGTGGGTGGAGCTTCCCATGTTAAACTAGCACCATCGGGTGCTTTTGTTATTTTTATGGCAGATGGAGCACCTGGATAACCTGGTAAACAGGTTTTAAATGCAGATATTTCACTCCATTCTCCTCGACCACAAGCATTTATAGCAGCTATACGAAGTTTATATGCTGTGCCTGGTTGGATATCAATTTTTAATTTATTTGTATAATCTGGTAAAAAATCTAAGCTAGTGTTTTCATGTTCATCAGTAATGGAAGTTGAGTAAAATTGTTTTACCAAACAAGTAGTGCCTTTTATCACCCCTACATCACACCACGCAGGTCCTTCTTGTTTAATTGGTACTGCTTGTGATATAGGTTTAGACAATACATTATCCGTAGTCCCATTGGTAGCTCCAGGTGCTTGATTTAGTGCAGCAGTTGCTAATGTTGACAATGCATCAGCGATATCATTTTCTGATTTTTTAACTTCTTTTGATTCTAATTTAACATTCAAATTATTTTCAAGGTTTTCCATTTTAGTTTCACCAACATTTTTTATGTATTCTGATTTAATTTCAAGAAGGGAAGTTCCAACATTTTGTGATGGTTCATCAGTTAAAAACTCAGATAATTCTCTCATAACCAAGTCTTTTAATTCAGAATCTTTCATACTTAGAACAGATTGCTGATCTAAATCAACACCATCATCAAGTTTTACAATATCATTATTAGAGACAGATTCAGTAACAGGAATAACTTGCTGTTGACCACCTTCCATTAAACTTTCTTGACCAACTGGTACAATTTGATCTTGAGTAGGTTTAATTAAACTTTCTTGTGTTGGAACTGTAGATTCCATTAAATTATCTGCTGTTGACAATAATTGATCTGATGTTGGTGGAGGTTGTTCAACTAAAGTATCTGGCTGAACCGATTGTACAGGCTCACTAACTGCGATTGGAGTCTCTTCTACATGTGAAGGTTCATTGACTTTCTCAACTTCTTCAGTAGATTTTTCAGCAGCCAATTCTAATTTTTCAGGCTCTCCAACTTTCAGAGGTTCTTCATTGGGGACAGAGATGGCAACTGGTTCTTCAGATTTAACTGTTGAGACAGGTTTTTTATCTCCTTGGTTAACCAATACTTCAGGCTCTTTATTACCCTCTTCAGTATCTAATTCAACAGAATTATTCACCTCAGATTCAACTGTTGCTGTGATAGCAGAATTTTCAGTCATAACTTTATCCATGGTGACCAATAACGAATAAGTACGATATCTGAAAATTGGAAAAAAAAATGGAACCCATTTAATAGATATTAATTTTGTAAACATAATTGTTTTCTATATACTTAAAATTAAAAAATGTGAAATATATTCTTTTTTTTTTTAATGATCTGTTTACAGTTTAACATTGCACTAAATAAAATGAACAAATTACTAACACATGTTTCCTTACCAATTAAAATTAATGAAATATAAGATTATAGTTGTTTTAAAATATAATATGTAAAGTTTATTAATTTATAATTTTATATATTAATAATTAAAAATTAATAATAATAATTTTAGATCTAATTAAAATGTTTAATATCATGCATTTAATAATTTGACATAGGTACTTAACATACGTTTTATATAAATAATGATGTAATGAAGTTTAAGTTATATGAACCTTAAGATTAATAGATAATTGATTTACATTTACTATATTATTAATGAAGTAAATTTAAATATTATAATTATCAAATAAAAATCATGATTTTTTAAGTATAAATTAACTACCCTTAATGTAAATTTGAATTTCATAATAAAACAAGTACATACAATTTAAGTAAAGTGTAATAAACACAAACAGGTAATACTTCTATATAACTTAGAACTAATAATTATTAATTCATTTTTTCTTGACATAAAATACATTGAAAAAAAATGTCTCACAACATTTTAATCAATATTTAATAAAAAACATTTGAAATCAATTTTTATATAAATATTACCATACTAAACATATTTCATATAGTAACACTTCAATATTAAATTGTTCATAAGTCAGAACACTGACAATACAAATGTTAACTCTTAAATACATATCACAATAAATACTTCATTAAAATTTAATAAATTTAATAATTCCCAATAATACTGAGTAATTTTTAGTTATATTCAATAACATAAGTTCTGAAAATAATTTAATATTATACAAATAATAATACTATAAGAGAGCATATCTCAACCAGGAGTACGCAATAAGATACAAGAGGGTATTTAGGAGAAAAAAAAAGATAATGGTGTAAAAAGTAAAATGTATGTATTTAAATTATTTATGAAATATTTAATGACAAGCTGTGTTTCATAATCGTACACATTCAAAAAAAATAAGTATCATAATAGATTTTGTGCAAGTCAGATTTACGAGTTTATTTATCATCTATGGAACCAGATTTCAAAAATGAAGTGTTAACAAATAACCCTAAGGATCATATAAAGATTAAATTGTAAAATGTATATTATTTTCTTATATACATTGCATGGCGCATACTGATTAAAATAAATAAATACTTAATAATTATTGATTTTATTTTCCATAAAAACTATATTTATAATTTCTTATCAGTCCTATTTGAGAATAGACAAACTTAGTTGGAGTACGAAAACAATCGCGAAAGGTCAAGGGGTAGGTACGTGAACGAAAAAAGGATAAGAAACGCTGTTGTAAGATGTTAGTATTAAGTGCAGTGCAAATGTTATAAACATAATCAAGTAAACGAAAACAAAATAATTGTTTGTAATGTTACCTTTGTAAACGGGTGCGAATATAATTAATTATTTACTAAATATCAAGCAAACAAAAACGAACAATTGATGTATTACAACAAAAACCGTACTAAAACGTTCGAAAGATACAACTAAACTCTTCGAAAATATACTGTATGGAAGCTGGACTATGATAAATGTGGTAGGTGTAAACATTAAACAAACCTTATCGTCCAATATATAATATTTCATCCTCCATGAAAAATAAAAATTAATTTTTCACGGAAAAATAACGAAAACACTACACAGTGTTATTAAATAATTTACTCACGATTAAAAAACTGATTTAGATTAATTTTAATCATAACCAGTTATATTCCCGACCAAAAAAACGATTATTTACCATTTGCTAATATTGTTTTATTCTTTTTATTGCAAGCATGTTTGGTATCACGGTTATTGACAATAGATAAGCACTATTTCTTGTAACGTTTAAAAAGTTAAAATTCAGAACCCTAACAGTATGCTGCAAACTTCTGGTAGGAAGTGCCATACGATTAAAATTTGACAATTATAAATAATTAACTAAATTATTACATTTTACCCATTGATTATGTCGTTTTCTTTGAACAACGAACAACTGGATACCATTAAGGTACAAATAATTTGTTATACGTAATAGATAATAGTGTATTTCGAATATTTCAAATCATTAGATCACTGTTATGATATTAAAGTCAATGATTCATTATTGTTTCAGAAACTCCAAGAAGATATGAAATACATAGATTCTAAACAAAAAATCATCCCTTCTAAATTACCCCCTATTAAACAAACAATGGTTGGCAGTGAATACGTTAGAACATCTAAAGGTAATATTCTACAGAATTATTACGACTAAATGCACTTCATGTTAATATAGTGTAAGATTACATATAATTATAAAACAATAAATTAAGTTTTTTGCATGCTTTGTAAGAATGTAAAAAAAAAATGTTGCACAAACTTCGTTTTAAAATTATCGATAAAAAACTTCAAAAATGACTGTTTTCCCGTAACATGTATTTTTTTTACAAAAAATACGCAGAATTTAATATTTTCAATTTTTTTTTTAAATGAGTGGTTTGTATTAAATGCTTAATACATTGGTAAAATATAGGTCTATAATAAAATCAAAACTAGTGATTCTGCATAACAAGTCAAGGGATATTTTCAATTTACAGAGCGAAGCGAGGAGTGCTGATACACACGTAATCACTGCCCAAGCAAAAAATTTTTAGTAGGATAGATAAGTTTTGATTTTACCAATTTATTGAGCGTATAAAACCATACATTTTGTAAAAAAAAATATTTAATTCTGCGTATTTTTCTAAAAAAATAATACGTGTTATGGAAAAATAGTACTTTTTGAAGTTTTTCACTTATAACTTCAAATCGAAATTTGCCCGACTTCTTTTTATATTCTTACAAGCCATTCAAAAATACACATTTTACATAAAAAAACAAAAAAAATCAATGGATAGCTATACTAGAATTGTTCCAAGTTTTTATTGAATCAATCATAATAAATATAAATAAATATTGGTAAAAAATGTGTTCATTTTTTGTAAATAAAAAAAAAATCATTTCAATACACCATAATAATTTAATACTTAAATTTTTTTCGTAAAAATATTTTATATTTACTTCATAATTATTATGTGTAAATGAGATTTTCAACAAATCGAATAGTTAATTAAATTTTATAATTACATTATGACTACTTATTTATAGAAAATATGTTTTCAATATCTGTTACAATTTTTAATAAATACATCTAAATTAGAAAACAGATTGTTTATTTTTTATTTTTTATATACTATCATTTATTGATTTATTTACATTGAGCCAGAAATCTGGCTTAATATTAGATATTTCTGGCAAGATAATAACTGTACTCCTATCCTTTTAAAATATCAAACGTAGAATCTCTTCCTCTACACTAATAATTATTCTATTTTCCGACCTTGTATTATATTCAACCAATATTATAACTATATATATATATATATACTTATTGATATTCATTTATTATTTAATGATGAATTATGGCCATACAACGATAACGATTGAATATTGAATCTTATAAATTATACTTAATATATATATTGGTTTTTAAAATGGTATTCATATTTTTTAGTTACATAAATAAATTTTAAAAATAACTATCACATTTATTATTGGAGACTAAAATTTAATATACTATAAAATCTTAAAATATGATGCATTTGTAGATAAATAAGGCATATTAATTTTAATTGTTATCTTTAAAATAAATACAAATGTTTTTTATTACTAGATTCACTTATTTTTATCATTCACATTTTTTTACTTTTATGAAGAGGCATGTATTCAATAACAATACATAAAATGTCAGTACCTACCTATATTATATTACATTTATAAAGTTTGTAATAATCCAAAATAAGTTACTTCTAAATATTATAATTCTTACTGTTGTGTTATAAATACATTTTCTGATTGCTAAGAAACCTCTAGTTTGTATTCAACCTAATATTATAAATTCTTTGTAAATAGTATAACAAATATTTCATTAATTTAGATTATATTTAATTCCAAAAAGTTTTAAAAATAAAATAGCCACTTATGTACAAGAAAAAATATTACATTACATTTTTAACATATTAAAAACTTATATATTAATTCATTGTAAAATAATACAAAAATCATATCTTATTTAAATTATTTGCATAATAAAAATTAAAACATATAATTCAATTTGTAAATAGATTGATATTCATAACCATACAAACTGTACAAAGTTCTATAACTTAGTTATTCTTACAAACGTTATTCATATAATTTACCTATTTATGTTGAACGATTACAAAAAATTAATTTTTTTGTAATTTAAAATAAATATATTTTCTTGTTTATTTTTTACTTGTAATTTAAACAAATTATCAAATTAACATTTTTTATAAGATGCTGAAGTTAAATAATAATCTTAAACTACCTTTGTATATTATATTTTTTCATTAGATAAATCCAATTTTATTTAAAAAAATTTTAAATTCGAAACTTAAATAAATTTTATTCTAATAGCACTTTCTGAAAACTTTTTTTTGTTGGTTTTTAAAAATTGTTATGAATTTATCGATTTTGTGGTTACTTTTTAAAAAACATTTTACTTTATAAATAAAAATATTCAAAATCGTTTTTTGAATTACAATGATAAAATATTATCATTATTAGTTTATTGTTTTCTAATTCAAAGACTTATATCAACTTAATCCATATTTTATTGTCGTAAGTAAAAAAAAAAATCTGAAATGGTTGAGGAAACTAATAATAATAATAACACGGGTACACTTTGAAGCAGCTAAATGAAGATTTTCTTGAAATCTTCAAAACCTAGGCTTTATCTAATTATATTTATAGCATTGTGTTATACATATCTAAAAATAAATACCTACTTATAAGAGATTTCTTAAAATTGCGCATATGAAATAATGTGTCATCAGTTTTGATTTTTTCGCGCATTTTTAACGCTCTAGTTGCCAGAATCAAAAAATGCAGTGTGAAGTATGGATTTATATGAGAATCCTGATTCTGCGAGATAAACGATGGTAACATTTATTTACGGTTAATAAACATATCTGATTAATTTATTCAGTTTTTACATTTTAAAATAATCATAATGACCTAAATACAATTTATTTAAATTACTGTAAACCCAATTCCAGCGTTTGAGTTGGTCTCATTTAAAATTAAATTATAATTTGAAGTTTAATTTTATAATTATTATTCTTAAAAGTAAACCAATAAAAAAAATTATACACTCCACTTTAGTAATTTTTTTTTTTTATTAAACTAAAGCCATAATTTGCAGCCGACCAATATATATTGGTCTGACTGACAGTAAAGTCATGTACCGTAAACATAGTGACGTTATAGTAGAATTTGAAAAAACGATTTAATGTTATACAGCATACAAATGATTAATTTATTTTTTAAATAAATTTCTTTAAAAGAATACAAGAGTATATATTAGTATTAAATTATATAATATAATATTAGTAATAAGTTCATATTACAGTTCACAATTATCATAAAATATTTTATAAATCTTCATTGTAAAAATTATGTTTGTAAATTTAATTTGAACTTTAATGTCCATGAATTTCAATCATAAATTGTGAATAAAATAATAATGTTCACTTTGTAAGATACGGAACTTACTTTTTTAAATAAATTAATCAAAAAACATTTTGCCGAAACCAGGGATCGAACCAGGGACCTTTAGATCTTCAGTCTAACGCTCTCCCAACTGAGCTATTTCGGCAGATAATAATTATATGATATTCTAATGTATAAAAAAAAAATATTCATTCATAGGTATATTTATTGTGTTTGTGTTTTTGTAATATACATGTTAACTAAAATAATATGAAAATATAGCTCATTATATTACCTACAATAGTTAATATTATTTATTAAATTTTGTAAATTATTAAAAATTATCAGAGTTAACACTTGAAACTAAATTATTAAAAAAAAATGGTATTCACGATTTAAATTAAATCTTATATAGATTACTATAAATTTAACCATAAAAATGTATAAGGGTACTCAGTACAGGTTGTTGATTTTGTTCCTATGTTTTCACTAACGCAGTCGATAAAAATTAAAAGTAGACAAATTTTATAATTTAATATGATCGTTTACAAATATTTACTAATGAAGCAATTTTTTTTTTCATGAAAAAATAATTACTTAAAACTCTATGTGCCGTCCTTCCTTTTTCAAATATTACAAAATGTAAATCATTTTTTTAATTTTTTTTTTCTTGTATTTTAAAAATGTATTACGTATTGTGTAACCATTGATTATAAAATAGTATTTATAATCAATGGTGTAACGTACCTATAATTATTTTAAGCATTATATCGTAAATTGAATACTTGAAAAAGTGGTAATAAAGTATTCAAAAATTAAAAATTACCAATAAAATCTTGTGAGACGACGTGGTGTAAATTATTTCTTAATCATTTAGCGTTGCTTCGCACCGCAGCTCTACTCATTTCGCAAGTCATTTTGCATGTTCTACAAGCTCGAGTCATATTGAATATAAAAATTAAAATCAAATTCAAATTCAAATCGATACATCCCTCAATTCTCTGTGTAAAACCACGT